TTGTTTTAGGGGGTCAGTGTGGTGTGGGCAGATGTGCTGGTAAATTACCCATCATGAAATGGGTAAACGTTGAAGGAATCTCCAAAAAAAAAAAAAAAAAGAAAATTCACTGAGGCCAAACACAGTCTCTCACAACAATGCAAGTTAGTATATTGGTGGGGATAGGTTCCTATAACACCTACCTAGGGGGAAAGCCTATACTAGAAGAGGCCTGCCCTCCAAAAAATAATTCCTTTTTTGGGAGGCATCCTTCCTTGTACTGGGGAGTGACTCAGGTTTGTGCCTCTCCCATGGTGTTCAAAACCTGCTTGTACACAAAACTGTACAGTCTTATCACTCAAACCAGCCTTATCATCCAAATGTACATTCTTCAAGAGCCCTCCATGCCTTATCTCTCACTACTTATATGCCTAGTTAGCATTCTGGTGTCCAAAACTGATTAAAGCAAAGTGCTACTTCAGTGGGTCTAATCGGTTAACTATTTTCCTGTCCCAAGATGTGGTTACATGGCTGGGTTAGAATTTAGTTTCCAAAAGACTGGGCCCTATCCAGGGGGCTGGTACTAATGTTTGTACATATTGCTAGTGATTAACCAAGAGTCTGGCTGACCAAGTGCTTCCTGAGGTTGGAAGGCAGTGAATGCGGCTCATAAAGCCAGAAGCAACCAAAGAACCATGGTTAGAATCTGCAACAAGGGCTACTGTTTCCAGGAGAGCCCCACCTCTAGGCATTGTGTCTCAGCAACAAAGCTTAGACCCCAGATGGGACCTGCTTTCTTTCCCGTCTCTTCCACTTCTTTTCTTCCCTCCTACCTCCTTTCTCCTAGAGATAACATGAAGGAACAACATTTTTCCATAAAATGTTCCTTGCTCCCCACTAGCCAGACCTGACCAGCCAGAGTATGTGGCCATCTAAGACTGTGGTTGGAGGTGTCCATGAGAGAAGCCAGCTTTTAGCCTAAGGTCCACCTTGGGCATGTTCATTGTGACACCTCCCTTTCTTTGATTTTTCCCCATATCACCTAGAGTTTCTGAGACTTAGTATGAAACCTGCTTTCTATGTGAAATGTACATGAAAGAGAACCCCCAACCATAACTTATTTATAAAAAATTGTGTATTTATTTTTCGTATTTAAACATCAGTCACCTTCAAAGTACTCTCTGTTTAATTCAATACACCTATCCAGACGCTTTTTCCACTGCTCAAAACAGTTTACAAACTCAATTTTGATGTTCTTTAGTGCTCTGCCATTTTTTATTTCACTTCTATGTCGGCAAAATGTTTCCCTTTGAGGACTTTTTTCATCTGGGGAAACAAAAAAACAAAAAAAGTAGCTCGAGGTGAGATCAGGTGAATAGGGAAGGTGGGGTATGAGATCATCCATTTTTTTTGGTAAAAAATTGCTGAACACAGTACAGTATAGGCAGGTGTACCTGTAAATCACCTCTCATGAAATGGACAAACACGTTGACTCTCCAATAAAAAGATTCACTGGAGGTGAACATATCCTCTCACAACAATGCTAGCTGGTACACCGACGCTGATGAATTCCTAGAACATTTGCCTAGCAGGGAAAGCCTGTACTATAAGAAGCCCACACTCCAAAAGACAATTCTGGTTTTATCTGGTCTCCCCTCATGTGTGTGTATGCATATATATATATATATATATATATATATATATATATATATATACCATGGACTACTATTCAGTCATAAACAAGAACAAAATAATGTCTTTTGCTGCAACTTGGAGGGAATTGGAGGCCATTATTCGAAGTGAAGTAACTCAGGAATGGAACATGTTATCACTTATAAGTGGGAGCTAAGCTATGGGTCCACAGAGGCATATAGGGTGGTAAAATGGACACTTGCAACTCAGAAGGGGGAAGGATGAGGGGGGTGGGGGATAAAAGATTACCTAGTGTGTTCAATGTACACTATTCAAGTGATGGGTACACCAAAAGCCTAGACTTCTTCAGCACTATTCATTTCATCAATTCATCTATGTTACCAAAACCACTGTTGTTCCCCCAAGGCTACTGAAATTTAAAAATAATTAAATAAATTAAATGTGAATCTCTTACACAGCCAAAAAGGAAAAAAATAAAATAAAAGAAAAGAAACAAAGAAATGAAGAGAAATCTACTTTCTCAGAAGGTTTGAGAGGGTGAGTTTTTCCGGACAGCTGTTTCTCCTCTTGTTTTGGGAGGTCGATCTCCAGGGGCTTCCCTACAGGGATGAGAATACTACAACTTGAGCATGCTGAAGGATCCAAGCCTGCAGAGCTATAAATTTAACATCTGTTCTTCTACTTTGAGTCCTGGGAAGAGTCCTGAGTGATTCTAAGCTGCTTCCAACCAGTTCATTCCTCTTTGGTCCTGCATGATCCCTTTGGGAGATCAGAGTCAGGATAAGAAGTGAAAAGAACATAGGCCTGGGGATCAGGCACAACTGGGTTCAAATCTTGACTCCACCACTTTCTAATTTAATAGCAGTCTCTGAGTCCCCCATGAACTCAGAGTTTTGTCCTTTTCAGATATAATTTGACTATCTGCAGAGGGCCTTGTTTCCTGGTGCTGTTGTTTCCTCCCAATTTTTTTTTTTTTTTTAGATGAAATCTTTCTCTGTTGCCCAGGCTGGAGTACAGTGGCACAATCATAACTCACTGCTTCCTTGAGCTCCTGGGTTCAAGTTTTCCTCCCATCCCATCCTCCAAGTAGTTGGAACTACAGGTTCATGCCACCATTCTGGACTAAACTCCCAATCTTGATGTAACCTGAAGTCTAACCTTTTATATAGTATGTACCTGGTACAATGCTATCCACTTTATAAGCATTGTTTTACTTAATTTTCAAAATGGCAGTGTAAAGTTAATGTAAGTATTCCCATTTCACAGCTGAGACTGAAACTAACTGAGATAACTTGCACAAATTCACACAAGTTTTAAAAGGCAGGACTAAGACTGGAGAGACTTCAAAGAAGGCAAAACAGTATAATAGAAAGAGAAAAAGCCTTGAAGTCAGATATCTGAGCTTGGTCTTTGGCTCTATTCTGACTGTAGGACTTCACATACCTTCCTTAAGCTTTCTTAGCTTTACTTTCTTCATCTCTTGAATCAGAAGAAACATTCTGTGGAAGTACTCTGAGAACGAAATTCATCAGTATATGTAAAATGCCTGTCATATAGCACCAAGAGGCATTATATCTCACCACTACCCCCTCCATCACCCCAGCAGGCATGATCATCCTCCTTCTACATCATGCTGCTTCCAGTCTAATGGGAGAAATCAGGCAGGAACACAATGACTATGATGGAAGAGAGCATACAGGTTTTCCTAGTGTGACCAAATAGTACTTCATGGGGACAGTGATATTAAATCTGGACTTGACATGTATTATCAAGTTTCAAGAAATGAAAAATAGATGGGAGAGGCCAAACATTCCACATCTGGTAGCTGGATAGGGCATAGAGTAGGGTGATGGAGGTGTAAGTATTCTGTAGACTCAAGGGCTACAGCGTGTGAAGTGATGTTATTCCAGCCATGCCTGTGTACTAGGTTCTAGGCTAGGCATGGGGGTCACACTACAGGCTCAAAGACTAGACTTAACCTCCCCCCACCCCACCCAGCTCCCCATTGCTACCTGGTGGTTCTCAGAAACCCAAGCCCCAGCTGGGGGGGTCTAACAACAGGGCATCTTTTAGAAGGGACAGTGGAGAGTGCTGGGGAGCCTAAGGGCAAGCCTATTCCCACCCCACAGAAAAGTTGGCATGAGAGAGAAAGGCCCAATATCTGCCTTCAGTTCCTCAGACCAGCTGGGATTCTATTTTTAGCCAGCACTGTTGTAGGTTGACAGCTTGGAACGCCTTCTCCCTCCGTTTCTTCCTTCCTCCTGCCTCTTGCAGCCCAGAAGCTTGTAGCAAATGATGGATAGGAGCAACCCCAGCACTGGTAAACTGAAGACTCTTCTTCCTCACTGTCCTTTCTCCAGAGCAGTGGGTAGATTTTAGAGGCATATTGACTGTGAAGCTAACAAGGCTTAAATTTTGGGGCTCTTTACTTGCATAGACCCCTTCCAAAACCCCGGTCAGTGTCCCAATCCTAGCAATTTTGTATCTGTCATTTTGTGTTTTTGAAAAAGAGAATCCAATATTATAAACTTTGGTCCCCAAAAACCTTAGATCTGCCCCTCATCTTGCTGTAGACCTTGGGCAGCTTTCTGTCCTGCTCTGGGTCTCAGTTTCTCCTGTTATAAGATGAAGCATCAAGAAACCCCTCTTCAAATATATTATGTCTCTGATTATGCATGTATGTTTCCTCAGTGAGGACTTGTTCTTCCTCATCTGTTTGTCTTTGTGTGTGGAGAGATGATGCTGCTGGTCTCTGCTTCTCTCTGAGGCTAGATCAGTCTTATAGTCAAAAGGAGGCTGGGTTCTCAGACTTCTATTCAGGTCCAGCCCTTCTAGCTTCTTCCCCTTCCCCATCCCTCACACCTCTTTGTTGTTGTAACTAGTAAGGGTACTTCCATTTGGTAGAATCTTGGATAGGTTCCAACACTGGGGAAGGGTGAGTGCAAGAAAACGACTCAACTCTTCAATACAATTCTGTACACCTGTAATGGTCTGGCACCTAGTGTTTCAAATATATGTAGAATAAACTTAGTCTTATTATACAGTGCTTTCTTGTTTATCTTTTCATCAAAATTTTAATAAGCATCCATTAATATAGTATCTTAACAATGGCATCACTTTGGGAGAATGTGATCAGGAATCAATGACGTGTCATAGATATACCACCTCCCACCCCCACTCCTAGTTACTACATACTAGAGTGCAGGTAACTCAGGACGACAAGCTAGAGAGAATACACACAGCCCCATTGGGTCTTAGACACCAGACTTTTTGGCAGGGGAAAGGGCACAGGAGCAGTGGGAGAGAACTGATAGGACACCACAAAATCCTGTGCCTCCTCGTCTGCCCCAAAAAGTTCAGAAAGGAAGTCCAGGAGGAAACCAATTCATTTATTATTTCTTGAAGAGTTTGGGTGAGGAAGGAGGGAGCAGGGCCACAGTCCTTAACTGGAAAGGGATGGAGGAACTTTTCAGTGCAAAACAGTTGGTCAGGGAGTTGATTTCAGTACTGGTTGGGGGAAGGGCATTGTGAGGTCAATCTGGGGACAGTTTGGAGCATCCCAGGAGTCAGTTCTGTGCCAGGCTCCACAGCCCCTAAAAGATTCAGTGCCATTAATCTATGTGGATGAGGGAAAGGTCAGACCTTGTCAGAGTTCCCACTATGTAGAAATAGCTGACTGCTAGGGATACTGTCCAAGGTTAGTGCCATGTTTCTGTGGGCCCCTCTCAGTTCCATATCAAAAGTGTGCCTTCTTTCCTGTGTAGGGCTCCACTCTTGTGTCAGATAAACTACTTTTTGGGTGTCAGTGTCCCGTGTCAGTTGTGGTCAATATTTTGTGTGTCTGGATGGGTCGGTGCTTATCATCTACCCTGTCTCAGCCAGGACCCAGCGTGCTGATGGTGGTGTAGCTCAGCCTGGACAGTGAAGCAATGGAGGGAGTGGGAGGGTCCTCGTCTGGAAGAGGCCTCGGGCGAGCTCGAGGACGCCGGGGACAGCAGCGGGCGCACGTGTCCAGGCAGGCCTGGCGAAAGCGACGGTGCATGAAACAGTAGACGAGGGGGTTGACACAGGCCGAGACGTAGCTCAGCAAGTGGATGAAGGAGATGGGAGCACCCGAGAGCGCTCGGTGTGCACCTGGGCCGTCGAAGGCGCGCCACGTGTTGGCGCTGTAAATTGGCAACCAACACAGGAAAAAAAGCACAACAATCACTAGCAACATTCGCACCACACGCTTCTTAGCCAGGAGCTTGGCCTGGGTGGGTCGGGGCCCAGGCCCTGGCCCAGAAGTGGGTGCCGTCAGCGCCGACAGCTCCAGTGCAGGTCGGGAACGCGGGAGTTGCACGTAGCAGCCGTCGCTGTCCTCGCCAGTCAGGCCAGTCTCAGGCCGGCAACTCCCGTTTTGGTGGACAGTACCTGAGCACAAGGAAGGGCGGTCAGGGTGGAAGGCAGGGTCCTCCCAACCTCCTCTAACCCCGCCCCTAGCCTTAATCCTGTTTCCAGCCTTCTCACACGCCTTTCAGCCCCACCCCCTCTAGTCGACCAAGCCCCTTTCCAAAGCTCCATCTTCCCTTGGAATTCGCCCACCTTGTCCATTTGCACCGGGCAGGCCTCCTTGGCTTCGGACACGGCTTTGGCTCTCGCTGTCACTGTCACTGTCAAAGCGAAGGCCTAAGTAGAGCTCGCGGGAGATAAGCCCATAGGCCACGGCCATAACCACACCCGGGACGAAGAACAAGAGCAGGAGCAGCAATACCGACCTGGAGACAGATCACAGACCGATCACGCGGGTTTCTGTCCAGCTGTAACCAGAGATAGAGAAAGAGCCAGCCAGAGGTTGGCTCTCTCTAGGGCTGTGACCATGTACCTGACGTAGGAGTAGGATTTGGGGGGTGCCATTGGGAAGGTCTAGAGAAGTGGGGAGGAACCTCAAATCAGAATCCCAGGGTGGTGGATGCGGAATGGGAATTCTTGAGGCAGCTGGAGGAAGGTTCTGGAGAATTATGGTAAGCATCTGATGGAGATGGAAAGGGAATAGCTAGGAACAGGTTGTGGGCACCCTCACCAGGTCTGGCGGACCCGTGCACTGGGCCAGCGATGCATGCACTGCAGCACACGGGGCCCCACTGGTTGCACCACGGTGAACACGGGGTAGGGCACCATGAGCAGTCCGGACAGCAGCCATGTGGCTATGATCACACGAGCCGCGTGGGAGCGCGTCTGCCACACACGCGCCTGCAGTGGTCGGCAGATGGCGCTGTACCGCTCCAGGGCGATGGCCACCAGGCTTAGTGTGGACACGCTCACAGACACCCCTAAACAAGGGAAGAGGAAGGAGTCATCTAGGAAACTTGCACTGCACACTCACAGTGTCTCAGCCCCCTCTCCCCCAATCAGGGAAAACCCCTACATCCAGCAAACACTTCAGGAGGGGAAAGGGGCAAGAGGATTGGGTGGTTGTCTCACCCACCCATGAGGTAGGAAACAGCCTTGCAAATGACTGTGCCAAAGACGAATGTGCCCATAAGATTGGGCAAGAGGGTGAAAGGCATGCATGCCACAGCCAGCAGGAGGTCGCTGACTGCCAGCGAGAGCAGGAAGGCATTGGTGACGGTCCTCAACCGGCGGCTCAGTCCCAGGACCACGATGATGAGCACATTTCCTCCAACGCTCATTAGGAAGATCACTGCATAAAGGGTGACTCTAATGGCCAGCTCCAGTTCTGGGCAGGAAAGGGGAGAAGTGGCAGGTGATCAGACTTCACTCTATCAACCCCTCCCGTCCCACTTATCGCCAGCCCTCACTACCCAGCAAGATCCCTACATACTCTCATCCACAACCTGCTCAGTAAATGGTCGACTTGAATCCTTTACCATTCCAAACTCCTGAGGTATAGTTAAATTGGCCTGAACCTACCTCTTCCTTAAGAAATGCTGTCTCTTCTCAAGGTTTGTTCCTAATCCTTCCTTCTCTTTGCAGCCAAACTTCTTGAAAGGATATATTTGTGTCTCCCCATTCACTCTCCAATCTATACAATACAACCATCTGTACCCCACCACTGTCTGCACACTTCTTCCCATTCTTTAACTGACAAGTCCTAAGGTCCCTTCTTACCTATTCTATTTGGCCTTCCTGTGGTATTTGACACTGTTGGGCACCTATTGCCTTTTGAAGCACATCAGGTCATGTCCTTATTCTCTATACACAAAACCAAAAAACCCTTCACTTACTCTCTGTCTGCCATTCCTTAGCATATCTTCAAGATCTTCCCAGATCAGCCCTCTTCCTCCTCCCACCTTCTCCCTGCACTGCACCCACTTAAGCCACTGGATGATTCAGTTTCTTGAAAGCATCATGTGCACTCGTGACTCTCTCTCTGCTCAAGTTGGTTTCTCAGCCCTGAATAATCTTTCATCAACCCTCCTCCCAACTTCTATCCCCTTCACAAGCTTATTTTCTGTATGTGGTGAATTCCTATTTATCCCTCATTCATCGAGATGCAAATCCTCTGCCCCTCTTTTGTAAGGCCCTTCTTGATACCTCATTTAGTGTTAATCTCCCCTTGTTCTGGCCCATGCTATTTCTTACACAACTATTAGAACCCTTTTTACTTCCTGCCTTGTGTTTTAATGATCTCCAAACATTAATTCTCACTCAACAAACATTTACAAAGGACTCCCTTTGTGCCAGGCACTGGGGATAAAGAGATGAACATAACAAATTCCCTGCCATTTGAGATCTTATAGAGGAAAAGGACAAGATGTGGAGCTGGAAGGCAGTGATATTGATGATCCTGACCCTGCGGAGACCTAGGCCTGTGTTTATGTCTTAGTTCTTCAACAAAAAGGTTTAAAAGATGAAAAAAAGTCAATACATAAACAGATAATTACCACACATCCTTACAAGGAATGAAGTTGAAAGATGTACAAGGTGCTTTGAAGCTCACAGGAGGGACACTTAGTGTTGCTATGTGAGACTGGGAGGCTGATTCATTTGTTTGTGTCATTGTCCACTGAAAAATGGATTCATCTTTGGACCTCTATATCACAACCAAGCAGAGCTAGACAAAATTGAGTTGGGTTGAACCGGAATGAATCACCCACACCCATTCCCTCAGCACCAGAAAGATTGGAACTCTCACACGGAGAGAGGGCAGGGAGCAGAGCTTCCCAGGTTGGGGAAGAGGGAAGGTCTTAGAGTTGCAGCCCTCTTTTCCATAGCTCCATACACTGACTGGTTCTCATCTTAGCCCCCAAACTGAGCTACAGCCATGTACTGGATAATGATGCTTTGGTCAATGATGGATTTGCATATAAGGCAGTGGTCTTATAAGATTATAATGAAGCTGAAAAATTCCTACTGCCTAGTGATGTTGTTGTAACATTGTATCATAACACATTTATGTGTTTGTGGTGATGCTGGTGTAAACAAACCCACTGTGCTGCCTACAAGGTGCTGTGGGAGCTTCCAGCTATATAAAAGTATAGCACATATAATGATATTTGATATATACATAATACTTGATAATGATAAAAAATGACTATGTTCACTGATGCATTTATTATACTATCTTCTTTTTATTTAATTTTTAAATTTTAGATTCAGGGAGTACACGTGTGTTTGCTAAATGAACATATTGTGTGGTGGTGGGGATTGAGTCTCAGGTGGCCCATTATACTATACTTTTAATCATTATTTTAGGGAGTATTCATATTTACTAATAAAAAAAAGTAACTGTAAAACAGCCTTAGATGGGTCCTTCAGGAGGTATTCCAGAAGGAAGCATTGTTATCATAGGAGCTCTATGCGTGTCATTGTCCCTGATGACCCTCCAGTAGGACAAGATATAGAGATGGGAGGTAGTGATATTGATGATCCTGACCCTGTGGTTCAAAAAGTAAAAAAGTTTAAAAATTAAAAAATAGAAACAAAAAAATGTTAAAAATAGAAAAAAGCTTATAGGATAAGAATATAAAGTAAAAAATATTTTTGTACAGCTATACAAAGTGTTTGAGTTTTAAGCTAAGTGTTATTACAAAAGAGTCAAAAAGTTAAAGAAAAGCTTATAAAATGAAAAGTTACATAAGCTAGGCTTACTATTGAAGAAACAGAAACTTTGAAAAATAAATTCAGTGATAGGTGTGCTGTACAGTATTTATAAAGTCTACAGTAATGTGCAGTAATGTCTTGGGCCTTCACATTCAGTCACCACATACTCATTGACTCACTGAGAGCAACTTCCAATTCTGTAAGCTCCACTCATGGTAAGTGCCTAATACAGGTATACTATTTTAAAAAATCTTTTATGAAAAGATAAAAGATAAGAAGTTTTTTATTTTTTTCAATACTTCTTCTATGTTTGGATACACAAATACTTGCCATTGTGCTATAACTACCTAATTATATTCAGCACAGTAACATGCTGTACAGGTTTATTGCTTAGAGTAGTGGGCTATGCCACATAGCCTAAGTGTGTAGTAGTCTGCTATACCATCTAGGTTTGTGTAAGTACACTCTCTGATGTTCACACAATGGTGAAATTGCTTAACAATGCATTTCTCAGAAGGTATCCCCATCATCAGGTGACGCATGACTATTTTCTCATAACAATAACCAGCTTATTTAGGAGTTGTAAACATCAAATAAATGCTATTTATAAGAAATCCTCAAACCAAACTCAGCAGTAACATTTGCTCAGGACCACACCAGTAGTAAGGGACTGAGTCAGACTAGAAGCCTAGTCCTAGAATCTCTAAAATGCGTTGCATCTTACTGCTCCCTTGGTACTCTCATTCCTCGTACTGCTTCTTCTCTTAATCAAATATCAGTCTAAATGCCTTTTCCCCCCTGTCTCTATAGGCAATCATGACATTTCTCTCTGTATTATTATGTTTACTTCTGTCTTTCCCATTAGACTATGAACTTTTTGAGGACAGGAGCAAACACCATCTCATTCTCCAGTACAGTCCTAACACTTGGCATAATGTTCAGCACATAAGAGATAGTCAACACATGCTTGTGAATGAATCTGTCTCTCAAGACAGAAGTGCATCTGCTTCTCCCCTCCCCATCTATTCCCCACCTCTGTAGACATGCTTTAGCATGCCTTCTCCTCTCTGCCTTTGTTTCTTTGGAGACACATTTTGGAAGGTCCTTGAGGAGGGGTCAGTGACAGGTTATGATTGCAGATGCATCATTTTTGCTTTTATATAAAAACTATCTGTGGTTTCTTTAGAAGCTGGGCCCTTCTCTGTAGGGAAGAATTACGGAAGGTGTCCATGTGGGAGTTAAGTGTGTATGTGTGGGCAGGGGGTACATAAAGAACTTTTGTTAGAACTGTGTTCTTGGACACAGATCAAAAGAGCTAGTGGTCTATTTTGCACTCTTTGTGTTCCCTCCAAGTCCATTGTCCTCCTACCTGCATCCTTACCCCCTCCACCTCTTTATTCTCTCTAGTTCTATTGTCTCTTTAGCATCCTCCTCTGGATGTTTCTCTTCAATGGGTTGTTCTTCTTTTTGCAGAGATGGAGTCTCACTATGTTGCTCAGGCTACTTTCAAACTCCTGGCTTCACCCCATCTCAGTCTCCCAAATTGGGATTATAGGTGTGAGCCACTGTGCCTGGCCACTGCAACTAATTCTTGATGCAATCACCACACCTCAAGTTGGTACAGCATTCTTAAGTGTGAAAAAGCACATCTCTCATTAATTCAGTCATCTGATGTGTCCCATGTGTGCCCTTGAGCTTGGCTAATTGTGGTGGATCATAAAGATGAAACTAATTCTCATTCTTCTAAAGTTCTCAATCTACTTGGGGATTTCTGGAAATTAGAGGACAAAGTCCCAGTAAAATCACCAGCAATTGTACAGCACTTTGTTTCTTCATTGGACATTTCTAGCTATTATCTTGTTTCCAGCCACCTCTATCTCTCTGGATCTTTGCTGTTGAAGTTAGGAGGTATGAAAAATTCTAATTAAAAACAATCTTAAGGCCAAGAAGAGTGGTGGCTCATGCCTGTAATCCCAACACTTTGGGAGGTAGAGGTGGGAGGATCTCTTGAGCATAGGAGTTTGAGACTAGCCTGGGCAATATAGTGAGATCTTGTTTCAAAAAAAAGAAAAAATTAGCTGGGCATGGTGAAGTATACTGGTAGTCTTAGCTACTCAGGAGGTTGAGATGGGAGGATCACTTGAGGCTGCAGTGAGATGAGATTGTACCTTTGCACTCCAGTCTGGGATTCAGAGTGAGACCCTGTCAAGAGAGAGATAGATAGATAGATATAGATATAGAGATAAAGACAGAGATAGAGATAGAGATAGATTTGGGGAGAGAGAGGGAGAGATAAATAGGTGAAGCATTGGGATTGTTAAAATAGTAAAACTTTTCTGTATGGTACTGTAATGGTGGATGCATGTCATTATACATTTGTCAAAATCCATAGAATGGTACAACATAGAGTCAACCCTAATGTAAACTATAGAATTTAGTTAGTAATATATCAATATTGGCTTATCATTTGTAATAAATGTACCATGAATGCAAGATGCAAGGTGTGTGTGTGTGTGTGTGTGTGTGTGAGTGTGTGTGTGTGTGTGTGTGCATTTGGGAAATCTCTACATTTTCTGTTCAATTCTTCCGTAAACCTAAAACTGCTCTAAAGTAGTCTATTAATTTTAAAAAGTCACGCAAAATAAATAAGAGTCAAGACTAGGAACCTAAGACAGTGGTGGAAAGATGTAAACTGGCACCTCGTGGGGTACATCCACTAGTCCCTAGGGCAGTTCGGTTCTTCTTCTAGGGTTTGGAGGATCTGCATTTGTTCTGTCCAGATTATGGCAAAAAAGTATGAACACAAAAATCCAGACAATGTGACATTAAAACAACAACAACAACAATAACAACAACAGCAAACAGGCTTTTCTAGGAAGGGGCCCCACAGAACACTGAAGCTGCTGATGCCTCAAATCCCGTGTTACACTGGCATGTTGGATCCGGTCACACATACACACAGACATCAAAGTAATATCCATGTCCTGCTCTGTGGTGAGCAGGGTTTGCATCCAACTGGCTGTGGGTAATAGCTGGGTGAATGGGAGAACATCCAAGTGTCAGTGGGTACTAACTGAGGGAACAGAAGTAATATGTAATGGTGCATAGATAATATCAAAGTGAATGTTGGGTAATACCTCAGTCTTTGAGATAATATATGGGTGGGTGAATGTAATGCTCATTTTTGTGGACAATATCTGGGGAAGGGTAACATCTACGTGTTCACAGGTAATATCTGAGTGTGAGTTACATCTAAGTTTAGATAATATCTGAGTGTTGTAACATTTGAAAGAGCAAGAGTAATAGCCAATTCTCTGTTGATAACATCTCATTTTGTTGGTAACATCTTCAGAAAGCACAGTTACATTCAGAGGTCTCTATGTGAATGGAGAAAATGCAAGTGATGACAGTAACAGCTGAATTAAGAAGTAATATCCAAGTATATGTGGGCAGTACTTAAGTGATTATGGATGAGAGATGTTAGCATGTTAAGCTAAGTTAAGATGTCAGTCTGATTCAGTGAAAGAACTAGGCTCCTGAGTGAATGCAGGTAATATTTGGTAATATCTCAGTATGTGAGAGTAATATTTCTGATTTTATGGGTGATGTCTAGAGAAGGCTTACTTAAGAGAGCCTGGGTAATTATCTGATTGTGTGGATAATAGTAAAATGAAAATGAGTAGTGTCTGATGGATGGGTAACATCTAAACCACTGTGGGCAATATTAAAGTGAATGTAGTAACATCTGTCTTTCTGTAGATAGCATCTAGGTGAACATGGGTAATACTCAAGTCTGCATGGATTATGGATTATATAAGAATAAAGTGAGCCTGGGTAATAATATATGCATCTGTGCAGGTAATATTTGAGTAAGTGTAGCTAACAGGGTCTCTATGGGACATGTCTGACTGCCTGGGTAACGTCTGGATGTATGTGAGCAAGAATATCCAGATAAGTGAGGCCAATTCTTGCACCTGTGCTCTGAATTGCTTCTAATCCTGCTTTCTCAGGGTTTCTTGCTCTATTGACCAGCCCCTTTCTCATCGGTACCTTCAGTCTTCCTCTCTCGGTGCATTCCTCATTAACATTTAAAAAATGCTCTTGTTTCAAGTACTACTATACACACACACACACTGAAAACCTACATTCGTATCCCCCCTTACTCAATCCCTGCTGTTTTTGGCAATATTTTGCTTTTTATTTGTCTCTGCCCCCATCAAACTTCTTAAAAGCTTTGTATACATACCCTGCTTCAATTTTCATAATCCCTCCCCCATGGGTCCAGTCTTCAGTCTACTATAGTCAGGCTTCAATACCTATAACTCCTCCTAAGGACTTCTTTTTTTAAAAAATTAAATCTGAAGATACTGATCTGACTATTCTTTCTTTACTTATCCAATTGTATATTGGTAGCATTGGCATCACTTACCCTACCTTGCTCGAAACTCTCTTTTTCCTTGCCTTCTGGAGGGGTATAGCGCCTGTCTTTCTGATGGTTTCACCTGAATCTCCCTCATGTACTCGTCTTCCTCTGCCCGGATTTTAAATATTGGTCTTCTGCAGGATCCTGTCTTAGGGGCTCTTTTTTTCTCATTCTACACAATAATTTATGATGTTATCTATTTCATGGCTTCTACCTCCTTAGGCAAAGACCTTTCAAATGTGTATTTCCACCTCAGGCCTCTCTTGTAAGTTCCAGACTTCTGGATTCAACAGCTTGCTAGGAAACCTCATGTGGATGTCCCATCAGCAATTAAACTCAATGGGTAGGCTCCAAATTGAATGTATAATCCCCTCTTTCAAACCTGTTTCTGCTCCTTTGTTATCTTTCTCATTGTAGGGCCTCAATATCCTTTCAGTTGTCCAAACCAGAAACTTAGATGTCATCCTTTAACCACCTTCTCTGCTTCTAATCTGTTGATTTCATTTCCAGAAGTGGCTCTCAAATCCATCTACTTCTCTCCATCCCCACTGCCAGTACCTTAGTCTAAGCTGGCATCATCGTTCACTCAGAGCAGTGTAACATAGTAACCCTCTAAAGCATTCTCCTGCCTTCCATCTCATGTCTCCCAATCCATCCTTTACATGACTGAACTAATCCCGAATCTCTCAGTAGCTCCCTTTGCTCTCAGGATAAAGTCTACACTCCTCAGTAAGGTCTGTCAGGTTCTCTGCGGACCCTCTAGGCTGGTCTTCAGCCTGTTTGTGATTCCTCTTCTTATGGTTTGTTCTTCTTCTCTAGCTACTCAGAAACTATGTCATACTGAACAAAAGTTCCATGGATTTAAAATTTGGGCTTTTTACATACCCTGTCACTCTGCTTGGGATGCTTTGTGCCTCTTCTGCCCCATCACTTGGCTGGTTCTCCCTCATCTTTTAAATTTCTTCTTTCTTTTCTTTTTTTTTTTGAGTCAGAGTCCCACTCTGTCACCCAGGCATGAGTGCAGTGGCATGCTCATGGCCACCGCAGCCTCAACCTGCTGGGCTCAGTTAATCCGCCTCAGTCTTCCAGGTAGCTGGAACTATAGGCATTTGTTACCATGCCCGGCTAATTTTTTGATTTATTGTAAAGACAAGGTCTTGCCAAAGTTGCCCAGCCTGGTCTCGGAACCCCTGGGCTTAGGCAATCCACTTGCCTCAGCCTCCCAAAGTGCTGGGATTACACGTTAGAGCCACCACGCTCGGCCCCCATCTTTTAAATTTCAATTTATACCTCACCTTCTCAGGAGGCCAATCCTAATTCCCAAGGTAGGCTAGGCTAGAGGCGGTCCTCTTATTTTCCCACTACCTTCCCCATCAAGGCTCTTCTGCCTTGTGCCAAAAAGTCCCTGCTTACTTGTCTATCTCCCTCACTAAACTCTGAGCTCTGTGAAGCACAAATTGTGTCATTTTTGTTCAGTTTACATCCCCACGGCCTAGTACAATCTCTGGTTCAATAAATATTTGCTAAATGGAATAATCTAAACGAAGTGTGTAACAACTGGGCTGAGAAAGCAGGGACTATTGCCTGGGGTAAATAAATACTTAGATTACAATGTATTCCACCTTTTCCTTCTTGAATTTAGAATAACTTGCTTCTGCTCTGCATTGTTCCCTTACCTAGCATACACCTCATTTCTTTTCTGCGCACTGAACTCTATCTACTGCAAGACTTAGATCCCAGGTCCCACCCTTTGTGAAGTACTTGAGCCCACCTTCTTTGGGTGCCCTCTCATGGGACTTCCATGCTACCTGTGATTTTTCCATTTGCTTGTTTCCCCTCTGCACTTGACTATGAATGAACCCAGGAGGGTCTAGGCTGGGTATAGCTCATCTTTGTGCTCCCAACCTGGCCTAGGGAGTACAAGCCTAGGGCTGGAGAAGGGACTTAGGAGGCACCTGGAGACAGAGAAAGAGAAGGGGCACAGAGCCTCGAGAACCCCAACGTAGGAGGCGGAGGGACTTGAAGACCAGTGAAATGAAGACAGGCAGCTCTAAGGAGCATCCCCCAGTGCCCAGTCTCACTCAGATTTGAGGATTTTTTCTTTTTTAAAGGAAGGCTGGGGACTGGCACGGAGGACACAACATTATAACTCTCCAACTTCTCATTGGGGCCTTCCAGAGTGCTCCCTCCCTCAACCCCCCCCCCCCTTGCCTTCCTTTCATCCTTTCCTTCCCTATTGTGGCTCTGTGAACTGGATGTAAAAGGAAAAAAAGTGATCTGGAAGGGTTGGCATGAGGAGGTCCTTGCCTCTGGACTGTATGTCTAGCAAGGGGGCTGTGTGCTGGGAAGGGAGCTGGCTGTTGGGTGACCAGGAGCTCCGGGGTGACCAGGGGCCCAGGATGTGAAGCAGTTCTGACTAGATGGTGTGAGGCTGTGATGAAGTTCTAAGAGCTGTAGGGTGAGTGTGTGAGGGGGAGCTGTTTGGGGACTGGGGGAGTACTATAAGGGGACGGTGTGGAGGCTTGAGGAAGCAGTGTAGAGGTCGTAGGGGGCACTATTAGTGTTATGGGGTGAGACGAGGAGAAGCTTGTGGAGGGGGCTGAGGGAGGCACCCACCTCGTGTCCCGGCTCCGCGGATGCGAGGGGACTCGCAGCTGAGGTTGCCCGCACTGCTGCCGTTGAGGAGGGGGCCCGGACGGCACAGGGAAGCCCCCGGCCCAGGTCCGGATCCCTGCAAGCTCCGGTTCAGTTTTAGCAGCTCCATGGCCCCCGCGGAGCCCGCCGCCTAATTCCG